TAAGAAAAAATAACAAAATTACAAAAATTAAATCCCTGAATAGGTCATATCATATATTTCCAGATTAACTATGAAAACATTTGACCTATATTACATAATTAAGCAAACGGCATCTTATCCTTTCATACCCTAATTGCACACTTGTTTTTGTAACTTTTATGAACAGCAATGAGAAGATAACCCATCAGAAACATCAAGAATAGTCTTATCCCACTCTTTCTGTTCTATACTTTACAATCAGCTGCGAGAAAAACTTTTTTGGGGGGAAGCCAAAAATGTTATTTTTTGTTGAAAATCATTTTGCTGAAAATAATCTGACAGGTCATTGAAATGATATTTTCATTTTAAAGAATAAAAGCTTCTATTAAACAGTAGAATAATTTATAACATCTTCATAAAGAGGAAGAATAAATAAACTAGCAAGGAAGCACGCACTAGCACATGTAATGAGAAAAACAGAAGATTTAGGTCAATGTAAAAATTCTTAATTTTAACTAATTTCCCTTCCTCCAGAATCCATATAAATATTTTCTTTTAAATAACCAAATCCAAATATTTCCAATGATATTACAAAATCAAATCATGCATAATTTTTTCCTTCAAATTATTCATTTTAATAATATAAACTCCACACAGTGCTTTGATTGTGACACGTATAGAACTCCTCCAACACATACAGATCAGCTTTCGTAAGTATTATCTGTTGACTTTCCATACATCTCTCCATAGATTTAAGAGCTTTCCATACAGACACAAATAAAAGGAGTAGGTTATGAAAATACACAATGTAAGTTATATCCATGGTTTTGTATTTTACTACCTGCTTAAACATTAAAGTCAAAGTTAGAAACTGCAAGCTATAGTCATGAATGGTACCCAGAAAAACTAATATTAACAAGTTCCTCTATCTCTATATGATGAGTTAAGTATTAAATTATCTGGTTCTCACCTGCTTGAAAACTCCCTTTTTATTTCTCACATTGCAGTGAAATATATTGGTATCACCTGCCTTATGTTCTAACCTTATAGGTTTTAAGGAATCAAATAACAGGGAAAAGTCTTAAGAATCCCTGAATGGTTGATGCTGGAAAAAGTCTCTGAGGCTCATCTAGTTTCCCCCTGCTCTAAACAGGGTCAACTAGAGGTTTCTCAGGTCCGTGTCCAGTCTGGTTTTGAGTATCTCCAAAGATGGAGACAACCTCTCTGGGCAACCTGTTCCAGCACCTGATCACCCTCACACTGAAAAAAGCATTTTCTTAAAGTGGAATTTCATGTATTTCAGCTTTTGCCCACTACCTCTTGTCCTGTCACTGGATACCACTGAGAAGAGTCTGCCTCCATCTTTTTCACTCCCTTCCACCAGTTATTTACACACATTGGCAAGAGCTGCCCTGAGCCAAAGCCATTTTTTCAGCATGCCAACCAGAACTGCAATCTACTCTGAATCTTAAGAGTTCTAAAGTGACTTTCTATCAATTAGAAAAGCCTGCTGATGGGCTCATTCCAACCTAGCTCAGCTAGAAGCTCTGGAAAAAATGCCAAAGCTTGACAAAAGCAGTAATGCAAGTGATTATACCAGAGCAGAACAAATTTCAGAAAGAGACATTTTTTGCTTTCAGATGTCTTACAGCAGAAAAATAGAAGAAACTGGTCTTTTTAGTCCTCTGTATTTTGTACCAAATTTTCAGAAAATATCAGTCAAATCACTCGTCTTTGCCACAGATACAGGTGTTTCTACAGAAAAAAATGCAATATTCAAGATGCAGCAGAACTGGTTTTTCCTTAGTGGTCCAATCAAAGCAACAGGAATCCTAAACTGAACCCTCAGATACGCTGTGCCCATCATTCACCTGCCTCTTTGTTTGACAGGATCTTGATGAGAAATGGCAAGATGTTCAGTGAAGTTTAGGTCAGCCTGTTAGCTATACAGTACATGCAACAATGGTC